CCTTGCTTTCCCTCCTCCTCGTTCCCCCCTCCAACAACAAAACGGCAGCAACTGACGGTGAGCTGAACAACGGCTGTGGGCATGGACATGGCGGCGAGGCGGTCTGAGCTCGTCTTGATGTCCACCCGCCAGTCAACCTTCTTCAGCCGCGGCAGTGACACTGTGTGTGTGTGGGGGGGGGGGAAGGTGAGAGACGGCGGTGTTGTCCCCAGCCCCGCAAAAGCAGTTCTCCAAACACACACACACACACACACACACACACACACACACACACACACACTGACATTGACTATTCGCGGTCTGCTCTCGCCATGCGGGCCTGCAACAGAGTTAGTCAACAATGCAAGAGCAAGAAGCGTGAGTGAAACACGTGGCTAAATGGTGTAGGAGAGCCACACAACCAACTCGCTCACACACACACGCACGCACGCACGCACACAAACACACACGCACGCACGCACGCACGCACAAGTTGTGTGTGATGATGTTTGCGACGAGGGACTTGAGTTTGCCATGCAGTCCTGACGGCAGAGCTTCTTTGATGCCGTCTGCGGTGTTAAGGTTCTCGAATAGAACCAGGTTGATCAGCTCAATGACAGCACGGAACATCTGCAAGGGAGAACAGCAACGTAACCATGTTCAGGGTCAGTGGCAACGAGTGGTAACCTCACACAAACAAACCGGAAGAAGGACAGCCACGACAGACAACGACAGACAACGACAGACAACGACAGACAACGACAGACACCGCAGTCATGCTGACGCCCGTGCCGCAAAAGCACACGCGCAGGACTGACTGACCTCTTGCGCTTGCTGCAACTCCAAAGACATGGCAGTCGCCGATTTCTCCACCAGATCCGCAGACACTGTGATGAAACAACCACAATCAAGAACAGCACACCCTCAGTGACAACGTGCACGCGCACAGTGGACGAATGGGAGAATAAACAGACAGACAACAGACACACACACGCACACACACACAAACAGACAACAGACACACACACACACACAAACAGACATAGACACGCTTCGTACCAGTGCCAAGGCGTGCGCTGAACGCAGACACAAACACCTGGTTCACAAACCCTTTGTCGGGCGCCTGCAAACCATGCGACAACCCCGCAAACACACACGCACAAACACACACACGCACACACGCACACACAAACAAAGTGAAAGAGTTACCGTCCACGTGAGCCATGGCGTGGGAAAAGAGCAGTGGTCAACAAGCAGAACAGGGTGTCCAGCAACGTCGCCAATCTCAGCCTGTGTCGAGCGAGAAGCAACAACACGCCGAGGATGGGTCTTGTATGGGCAGTCTTTGTTTGTCAAACTCACGTTCATCAGATGCGTCAAGCCAGCCTCCATCTTCGCTGCTGGGGTTTGCGCCTTTTAGCTGTATTTTCATACAATCCTCCACAACCACAACGAGAAGTGAAGAGTCGGCTGTCCTGCTCTCACCTCGACCTGTTTCCCTCTTCCCCTTGTTCCTTTGTTCAGCTAGTTGTTCCCTTAGCTGAGTATGACGAGGAGAAAGAGAACAGGGTGCCTGCAGGCACATGTGCTGCTGCTCTCGTTGCTGTTGTTGCTGCTGACGATACCGTTCATCAGTTTGGGAAAGGTGGCCCTTGTGCAGGATGATATTGGCGCGTTTCACATCAACACGACCGATCCATCAATTCAGTCTGTGTTCTGTTCGTGAACGGCGTCAATGTGCACAAGACTCTGAGCACGCTGATGAGTACCATCTCGAAAAAACAGAGCAGCATCGATGCACAGCAGAGGTTAAACGCTGAACTCTGTCAAGTTATGAGGTGTGCCGAGGTGTTTGGGCAGCTTGGAAGATCACAGGGTGCTAGGGTGAGAAATGGAGCGGTGGCGTGCTGGCAAACAACGGCCGAACCTACGCTGCGCCATTCAACTCGCCCTCTGTGCTCATTATCAATCCTAATACCAACACCGTCGATACAACCACGGTCTCAGGTCTTGGAACAGACAACTCCAAATGGTCCGGTGCTGCGTTGGGCCACACCGGCCTCGTGTACATGTTAGCATGTTCGCTTCTCACTGGGAGACGATGCTGATCATTGAACCAAACAACAACGCTGTTGCAACAAGACAGAACTGAGCCAACAGCCACATCTCCGCCACCCCAACACACACACGCACAAGCACACACACACACGCACACCCTCATGCCCTCAAGCAAACATCAATCGCAAGCGTCGTGCCCTGCGTCCACGCTGTTCACACTGTTGTCAGGCAACACAACAACGCCTTTGAAACACGAGCGCAGAGCAAAACACTACAACCAGTTGTGACAGCTCGTGGGCAAGATACAGCTCCTCTTGTTCTCTTGTTCTCACATCACAACAGTGTACTTGCTTCACGCTGTGTGTTTGCTTTGTGGGCGATCCTCTGTGTGTGACATGTGATTTGCTGTGCATGTACATGTCCTGTGTCATGTCATGAAAGTACATCAAAGCCACTCTTAAAAGCCTGTATATATTCAACACACGCACACACACACACACTTCGGAGCTTGCTCGAGCCCCCAACCACGATATGACATCATTGCGCGATCGAGCACATTGCAGCGCAGGCCATTGTGCTAGGAAAGGTGTCCAAAGGCGTGTGACGTGTCTGTGTGTGTGAGAGAGAGAGAGAGAACTAGAGAGAGAGAGAGAGAGAGAGAGAGCGAACAGTGCTTTCTAGGGTGAGAGCAAGACCAACAACGACAGTATGCTTCTTTGCTGACAAATGAGGATCAGCAAGGGAGCAGCGTGCACAAATGCGCTTCACCGCCGGGCCAGTGCTTGCACGCAACCACGCTAGTTGAGTCAGCCCCAGAGAGCCAGTACTCGCGAAAGAAGGAAACAGGCAGTTAGAGTTGCACACACGCGGCTTTTGTTCCCTTGTTCCTCCTTTACCACCACCCCCCTTCCCCCTTTCATCGTGAACCAAACGTTGAGGCAACAAAACAAAATCGCAAATCAACGAGTATGCGGCCCACGCAACAAGGCTATCTACACTTCAACAATCATTATGTTCGCGACCTAAACCAACCCTGCACACATGTCCCTCATGTCCCAGGCGACCCAACCTTTGCATGACGTCATAGGGGGCAGTAGACCAGAACGCGCAGAGCAGCAGAAAAGAGAAGGCTGATTGTGAAGGCTGCCCAAAAAAGAGCAAAAGGGCAAGGAAGAGACAATAGACTGGAGCGAGCCCTGAGATCACGTCCCTCACAGCTCACAGCTCACTGAAAATGCAACTGAACGATGCAGCACATGTATCATGTGATGTCTATGAGAAGTGTGCAGGCCACGGAAACGAAATCGCAAACGCAAGAGGAATAGAAGTCCGCCGCGACAAGGAAATTGGGCCAGATGGAGATAGGTGAGAGGCGAGCGTGTGTGACACCACCCAACACCTCCACATTGTGCGAGTACTTGAGTGTCGCACACATACGAACACAGATGTTCATACACGTGACCAATCACCTCCCATTTTTAGCTTCCACTTTTTCCGTCATCAAGGTCATCAGAAGAGAATCTGTGTTATCTGTTCTGAGGATCGCCCCGCCAAGTGCCTAACGTCTTGGTGGCGTGGTGCAACCGCAGGCTCAGTGAGAGCAGATACGCGGCGACATCGCTCACAAAGCTTGCGTTCAGCCTGCGGAGTTAGTCTTCTCGTCTGCTCCTGCGGAAAACTGACCATTTTTTCGCATGTTTCTCCAAACAACGACGATCACAAGGAGCGCACGTGCATGATCCTCAAAGACCTGCTCTGATTCTGATAAGAGGATAAGCGAATCCCCCCCCCCCTTTGCTTTGTTAGTTTGTTGCCTATCTGGACTCTTCTTGGACGAGGGCTGAGCTCGCTAGCACAGACGAGCTGTTCGAGGCTGACGACTTGTCAAAGGCTTGTTGAAGGCGTCACGGACAGAGAAAAAAGCTCGAATCGAGAGGGCTCAACGATCGATGGTTCTCATTCTGAAACCTTGAAACACTGATTGACTGCACGCAACCAGCCAACCAACCAGCACCTCAAGTCAGCACCCTACGAGACTCCACGCAGGTCATGCACATGCAAGCACGGCACAGCTGGAGGGCCAAGGAGGTAGTGGTAGCGGCCTTGCTGTTGCTCGTGATCTTCGCCGACACCAGCAAAGCAGACCAGGGACAAGACCCGAACAACGCCTCCATCTATGTGAACGACGACGGCCACATGGTGCTGGAAGACAGCGACGCTCGCGTGTCCCTGAAAGACTTGCTGGCAGAGCTGCAGCGGCTGGGGCAAACGGTGTCCACGATGCAGACTGGCAACGCCGAGCGCGAGGAGGAAACAGCGCAGTTGCAGCTTGAAGCGGCGCAGTTACGTAAGGCCGTTTCCACGCTTGACACTCAAAGCGCAGAGCTAAACAGGACCGGGTCAGCACTGACCTCTCAAGCGGCAGAGCTGGAAGCAGAGGTGCTGCAGCTTCGTGCAGAGACGTCACTGCTCCGAACGGAAAACGCTCAGCTGCAGATGACGGCTTCCGTTGCCTTCACCCACATCACGGCCATCACGGATGCTGGCTCGTACAATGTGAGCCTCTCGTTCGCCAACAGGACCGCGTTGCTGCCACCTTCTGTGCCAGTTTACGTGGAGGCTGGGGGTGCTGGTGGAGGTGGTGGTGGCCGCTGCTCAAGCTCAAACGGGCAAACAGGTGGACTGACGTCGCTAACACACCAGTCCACATCCACAGCGTGGCTCGCCGCAAGTGGTGGAGGCGGCGGAACGAACCCTGTCACGAATGGCCCCGGTGTTTTACACGGGCGTGGAGACATTGGGCCAGTTGTAATGCTCGGACGTGGAGCTGATGGAGGCTATCCTGGCGTCGCCAACTCAAACGCTGGGCTCCCCGGCGGAAATGGCGGATATGCAGCTGGTGTATTTCGCGTGGATGTCACACCCACACAGAACACACAGCTCAACGCTGTGGTTGGGAGAGGTGGCACTGGAGCAACCAGCACCTGCGATGCGCATGGCCGCGACGGCGCTGACGGCTTTGTCATCTTCCACCTCCCTGAAGCCATTAACATCACTGTGATCCGCACCGCGTGATCGGATCTTGTTTGCATTACATCGTGCCTGCCCCACTTGTCCATCGTAGTTGAGAGAGCGTGAGTGCAAGGGTGTGGTCTTGACGAATCGCGTGCGGGTGAGGTGTTGACATGTTGCATGAAAGTGGGGTACACACATGTTGTGGTGTCTGTGCACGTTTTAGCTGTGCCAGGCGGAGCAACACCACACTGCTACCACATCACCAATACAGAATGAGTCGTGACTCAGAGAAGGCGTCGTTTATTGGCAGGGCCAGCATCATGAGTGCGGTGCTGCAGTGGACAGCTGACACATGAGAAACGAAGGTGGTGTGCCCACCAAAGTGACTGAGCACGCAATAGCGAAAGGGTGGACAGCACACTCACACAAGCAAAGAAAGCAACGAACTGACAACCAAACCAAACTAACAATCAACCAAACTAACACCTCTTCCCACCCCCTCCTTTCTCTCCCCACTCTCCACCTTCACTACCCCAAACCCCCTCCCCTCCCCCTTGCCCACCTCCCCCCATCCAACAATCTCAACACCCTGGGTGGATGACGAGCACGGTGTCCGCGTTGCGGGGGATACCGTAGATGCGGCCGTTGGGGGCGAGCACGCCGTCATACCAGCTGTAGTCGCCAGGCAAACCATCGAGGGAGGTGGTGTCCGTGGTGTTGGTGGCGGGGTCGAAGATGAGGGCGGCGGACGAGGTGCTTGGGACGCCGATGATGTTGCCGTTTGGCGCGAGGATGCCGCCAACCCACTTGCCCTCGTTTGTCGCCTCAGCGACGGTGAGCGTGCTGGTGGCATTCGTGGCCGGATCAAGCACCAGCAACGTCGGGGCATGCGCTGGCATGCCGTAGACGAGCCCGTTGCCGGCAAGCACGGCGCCCGCCCACTTCACAGATGCATCAAAGCCGCCCAGCGTTGTGGCGTCGGCCGTGAGGGTTTGCGGGTCGATGACGAGGATCGAGGCCGCAAACGTTGGAATGCAGTAGATGAGGCCATTCCCTGCCTGAGCACCGCCATACCACTTGTAAGTGTCCGCAGGAAGGGCAGACATGGTGGTGGTGTCTGCGGTGTTGGTCACGGGGTCGATGATCAGCACGGAGGCGGCAGAAAACGGCACGCCAAAGATGAGCCCGTTGTCTGCCACAACGCCGCTCGCCCACTTCTCATCGCTGCCGGAGCTGAGCGAGTGGATGCTTGTGGTGTCTGCCGTGTTGGTGTCCGGATCAATGATGAGCACTGAGGTGTTGGTCGACGGAAACATGTACACGTGCCCCGTGTGCGCCAACACGGCGCCAGCCCACTTGTACAGCTCACCACCGAATCCAGAGATGGTCGTGGTGTCCACAGCGTTGGTGCTGGGGTCGATGATGAGCACAGAACTTGCGCTGTGCGGCGCGGCGTAGATGAGGCCGTTGTTGGCCAGCACAGCACCGTGCCACTTGTCCTTGGAGGTTCCCAGCTGTTCGCCCAGTGTGCTCGCGCTGGCCCTGCACACCTTGCCTCGAAGCGCACGCACCCTTCTCAGCTGCGCATCAATCGTGGTCTGCTGGGCATCAATTGTGTTCTGTTGTGCCTGTGTTATCGCATCGTACTCCTCCAGCATGCTTTGCTGCACGGTGACTGTCTGCAACAGCGCGTCCACGTTCATCCCGTTAAGCAAAACGGGCTGACTCGTTGGATCGCTCGTGTTGACGTGGAATGCACCCGCGTCATCTTCCACCAACCAGGCCGCCGCATCGCACGCCCAGTAGGCGCGGTGAGGGTACAGCCCGTGCTGTCCAGCCAATGCCAACACCAAGATGGGAAAGAGGCAGCACAAGTCAAACGGGCGCGAGAAGGGTGGCAGCACGCTGGTGGTGCGTGTGTTTGTTGCCCTGTTTTCGTGGGGTGAAGTTTGGAAGATTATGAGCGGCATACATGAACTTCTGCAAAGGCACCGGATGTGGTGTGCCATGAAGACACACACGCACGCACACACACACACACACACACACACACACACACACACACACACACACACACACGCACACACACACACACTCACGCACACAAACACACACACACACAGACACACACACACGCACACGCGCGCGCACACAAACACGCACACGCGCGCGCGCTCACTCACACGCACACAAACACACACACACTATGGAGTGCTGGAAGCTGGTGGCTGCGCGGATCCTATCTGCAACTTACCCTGGCGATGCGTCGGGTACGCTGGAGGTGTTTGACGTGAAAGCAAAGGCTGATTGTGGCAGGGCACGCACGTTCCTCAATCTGATGCTCACCTGCCGTGAACTGTACCACGACCTGCCATGGGCCATGCCAAAGTGGTGCCTTGCCACGGTGCTCTCTCAAACGAACAACGACAAGTACAAGAGGAAGCTGGCGAGAGTGAAGATGGGGCAGCAGCCCTTGGACGTTCACAGAGGTCTCTCACAGCAGGCTGAAGTGATACCGGGAGACGACGACGCTGAGGACACGTGGAGCAAAGACTACGGCCCCAGTGTGCAAGATTGGCTGGACACTTTCCAGACTACGCTTCTTCCTCCGCTGCTGTCACCAGACGAAGACAAGGGCGGCACCGATACCGAGGATGATTGCACTGACAGTGCGGCCAGATACGCCGCCACTGTGTCGGCGTGGATGGAAGAGCGCTTCCTTGCCTACTCTTGGCTTGGTGTGACATGGGCGAGCGACCTCCCTTTCTTGCAAGCACGGTTGGCGAGCATTCGGCACAACGACTTCTGGCTGAAGTTTTCCCGGTGCGGCCGCGTCGCATTCACATGCATGCACGACCTGGAAACATGGGCAGTGGCAGAGGGTGGGGAGGAACCGTGTTGGGATGAAAAAGATCTGAGGGAGAAGGGCAAGAACCCGAGGGAGGAAAAGGCACACAACGACAACGACGACGACGACGACGACGACGACGAATGCGAGGAAAAGCAGCAACATGATGACAAACGCAAGCAGCAGCAACGCAGGCTGCACAGGCAGCGACATGATGACAAACGCAAGCAGCAGCAACACAGGCTGCACAGGCAGCGACATGATGACAAACGCAAGCAGCAGCAACACAGGCTGCACAGGCAGCGACATGATGACAAACGCAAGCAGCAGCAACACAGGCTGCAAAAGCGGATGACACCGCGAGAAGACGCGATACGCGAATCACAGCAGCAGCCGCGCGCCGCTCTGCTCTATGTCACTGTCACACTCAAGAGCCAAGCAGATGCTGACCGTTTTAAGGAGCACTACTCAACTCTCGTTGGCGATGGTGCATGTGTCCGTGCAGATAGGGTGAAGATCACCACGACTGCACCCCTGGCCTCGCTGAGAGTGTGCAGCGCAAACACGCTTGTTTTGGACTCGGGGGGGCGGTGTGTTGGACACTATCTCCTTCCATGACATAGGCCACGTTCGCTGGTTCCGCGTAATGTATGAGCAGACTGCTCTGCAAGGCGAAGTATCAAACGTCCACGGCCTCAGCCTTTTCGGCTTCAACAAGCTCAGCGATCTCAGCCTGTTTGCCGGCGTGCAAGACCTGAGGGTGGCCGTATGCCGAGGCATGGACCTGACCCCTTTTACCGCCTTGAAAAGGCTGGTGTTCGGAGGCATTGTAGCGGGTGGGCAGTCCGTTATCGCAGATGTGGATGATGTGTGCCTCAACTCCTCGTCACTTGTCACCAGCACGCTCAACGCGAAGCGGGTTTGCCTGCGCAACATGCATCTCGTGGATGCACCATCGCCGTTGCACCTTCCAAACGCCACCCACATTGAACTGCGCTTTGACGAGCTTGATCCAGACCACAACGCTGCCGAAGATGACTTCGCGGTAGACCTCCCTCCGGGACTCGACAAGCTGGTCCTTGTCCATGGGGACACGCTGGGCCCAGAGCTCCCCCGGTTTGAGCACGCCCGAGAGGCTGATCTCCAACTGTGTGACGTCCCAGACGTCGCCGAGTTGGCCTATCTAGCGCACCGTGTGGACAAGCTGGTGATCCGGGCCGATCCGTCCGACGAATTCACGGCGACCGGCTTGTCCCAGGTGCCGAACACCGTGTATGTGTGCTTGGATGACGTGAAGTGCACCAAAACCACGTCGCTGCCACCATGTGTGAAGGAACTGCACGCGATTGTTGAGGACGACGTCTCCGTCACCTGCTGGTCCCACATACCGCTTCTCTCGCTCACTGGATGGTGCATGCGGGCTTCAAACATGGGCGCCCTCTCTGGGCGGAGGCAGCTCCGCATGTCTGGTGTTGTGCTTGACGGCGAAATAAGCGACTGTGACCACGTGACCCTTTGCGATTGTCATGGCAGTGTGGTCTTCTCCCACATCACGTGGCTGAGCGTGGGCCCGCACAGGTTGCGATGGGGCCCTGATCCGCGACACACAGTGGCGCAGTGCGGCGCCAACGGCGACGGTGATGATGATGATGGCAGCGGTGGTGGGTGTGGTGGTGATGATGATGACGATGGCAGCGGTGGTGGGAGTGGGAGTGGTCATGGGAGTGGTGATGACGATGATGATGATGATGTTAATGTTGATGATGATCCTGGCCGTGGCCATGCAAAGGTCGCAGGCGATAGTGCAAAATCAGAGCGATTGCTGTGCATTGAGCGTGTGAGCGACGTGTCCACATGTCGACTGCAGCTCACCAGCATCATGAGCTTCTCCTGCTTCCACAATGTGCACCGCCTCATCCTGGAAGACTGCACGTTTGACGACCTGGCCTCGTTGACCTCAGTCACGTGCCTGGTGATTCGTGACTGCACCAGCAATGACAAGCGCTGGCAGTGGCCGAATGCAGTCCTGGTGAACCGGTCGCCAGTAGAGATGATGGAGGTGCTCACGCAGGGCAAGCGCAAGAGGAACACGTGATGTGTGTGGGTGTGAGTGTGTGTGGGGAGGAAGGGGAGGAGATGTTTGTTGGTGGAGGGAGACTTGCAGCACACACACACACACACACACACACACACACACACACACTCTCTCTCTCTCTCTCTCTCTCTCTCTCTCTCTCTCTCTCTCTCTCTGTCTCTCTCTCTCTCTCTCTCTCTCTCTCTCTCTCTCTCTCTCTCTCTCTCTCTCTCTCTCTCTCTCTCTCTCTCTCTCTCTCTCTCTCTCTCTCTCTCTCTCTCTGTTCCTTGCCTCTTGCTGTCATCTTGAACGTGCGTACAAGTTGTCTCTTCACAGGCTCCCGCCGGTGTGCGCCTTGCATATCACATCCTTGTGCTATTGCTGCTGGGTTACTTCTTCTGCCTTGCCTTGCTTAAATATCTCGCCTTGAAAGCACATTGCACGTTAGGCCGATGGGCTAATCAAAGTTGTGATGTGAGAGTGATGTCAGACAGCTGAAACGGCTGGGTGATGACAGACACAACGTTGGAGAAGACACAATGATGACGGTTTCTTGTTCAACACCAGCTAGCAGCAAAAGAAAGGACGCACGTTGAAAGATGATGCGATACTGTGAGGGCCGTGGGTGCGACTCGAGGTCGCAAACCAACAAGCACGCGTGACGGTGTTTGGCACGGAAGTGTTTGGAGCAGGACGCTCCATGGCAACAACACAAGAGTCAGAGAGTCAACAAAACAAAACATGTGTGGGCACAGCGGGCACAAGGTCACACCACAAAAGGATAAAATAGAGTCAGCCAAACTGATCTCGGAACTTGTCAACAACACTGAAGTGCGAACCCAAAACTCATATAAATCGACCGCAACGCAGTGAACACAGCAAACAAACAGCAGCTGCATCCAACCACGGAATGACGTCAGCGTGTCCGCATTCCAGTTCTTTGGCACACTTTCAGGCCATTGTGCTCCTTGTAGATTGGTTTGCAGTGGAGACACAGACGGTCACTTGTTTGTGTGCGTGGGTGGAACTATGTTCTGTTCTGCTCTGTTGGTGCTTGGTGACAAACACATTGAGACGTACAGTTGCAAGCAAGGGCTGCGCGACACTGCGTGAGCGCTTGAATGCCTGCTTGAGCGACACTCTGAAAAGGGAAGTGGCTTCTGAAAGCACTGCAGCAGGCCGGCTGCGGAAAGAAGTGGGGAAGAGGATGAAGGACAAGCGCTGAGAGCAGGAGAGCAACTTCGTTGGAGTTGTAGTCGAGGCTTTGTCGTCGTACGTGTTCATTGGTGGCAGGGAAGACTCGGGAGAGAGAGAGAGAGAGAGAGAGAGAGAGAGAGAGCTGTATGTGGGCAGGAAGCGATAGCGGACTGTTGTCGACACCGCGTCACTCACTGACTGATTCACTCACTCACTCGCATACACACACGGAGTGCAGCACCTTTGATTTGCTTGCATTCCCTGCAGTTGTCACAATTTGCTATTCGCACTTGTGTGAATGTGTTCACACAGCACATGCAACACAGTACCGAACAAAACAAAACAAAAGAGGGAAGATGAGGCAGCGGTACCTGTTTGGTAAACGCTATCCACCGCCAAGAGGCAGGACCATCAGCCAGGACAGCAACAACACCGAAAGCGCCCGCACATGCATCAACAAACCCAAGATGTTGCAAGATGTTGCAAGATGTTGGTGGTGGTGGTGGTGGTGTGAAAGTGCTGTCGCTGCCCGGTGTTGAGTGGGCACTCTGCCGTCGTGTGGCGGCTAGATTAGGGAATCTGGTCCTCGGCGGACTTGACAAAGATGGAGATGGTGGCGGAGATGATCAGGAACACAAACGTGGCAACACCTGTAGATGACGTACAACGTCGACAATGTAACATATGTACATGTGAGCACGTGTGAAGTGGGGACAGCGCAGTTGACACGATGATGATGATGATGATGATGATGATGATGATGATGATGATGATGATGATGATGATGATGATGATGATGATGATGATGATGATGATGATGATGATGATGATGATGATGATGATGATGATGATGATGATGATGATGATGATGATGAGAGGAAGAAGCGATGGCATGGTGCGTGATAATGTGATGTTCACTTTGGTGCAAAAGGAAAGAAGAGGCGCTCCCCAGCGAATCCCACCATCCATCCACCAAACACGCGCACGCACGCACGCACCTAGGCCGCCAGCGTAGCCGAGGTCGCAGTCGCCGCGGTCAAAGCGCTTGGTGCTGCCGCAGAAGCTGGCGTCCTTGAGGCCGGCGCCAAAGAGGAACAGCGCAATCATCACGCATAGAGCTGTGCACAGCAAAAGCGTCAGCAAACGACACGGTGAAGACCCATCACATCCATCGATACAAGTGAGGAACAACCACTGTAGGACGGTGGGATGAGCAAACACATCGCTGCACTGCACGCATGTACACCCGGCTGCAAAGCCCACAAACTCTGCTGCACATGCTCAATGCCACTGCTCACTCACCAGAGAGGAAGAGAAGGCCAATTTGTGGGCGCTGTTGTGGTGAAGGACGTCATCACAGACACAGACACGTTTGGAAGGAAGAGGTGGTGTCAGTCGTGACAAGGCGGCTTGAGGATTGCACCAACACGTCAGCACGCACACACACACACATGCACACATGCACGCACCCCACAACATGGAATAGTCAGCGTACGGGACAACATCACATCAGCATCACGGCAGCCATGTTGTGTCCGTACGGTGAGGCCCTTGAAGGCGCAGCATGTGAAGAGGAATAAGACGAAGCAGAGCCATATGACCATCATGGCAAAGACGAAGAGACCGGCAGTGCCGCGCCTGTCACAAATCAGCGTTTGAGTGGGGTTGCATGATTGTGTGTGTGTGTGTGTGTGTGTGTGTGTGTGTGTGTGTGTGTGTGTGTGTGTGTGTGTGTGTGTGTGTGTGTGTGTGTGTGTGTGTGTGTGTGAGGGATGTGGAAGTTAGTGGAGGAGTGAGACTGAGAGAGCAAGATACAGATAAATGCAAGCAAGACACCAAAAGTGACAACACATCCGCTCCTCTTACCCATTGACCCAAACGCTTGCAAGTGAACCCCTCAGCTTTTTTTTTTTTTTTTGCCATGACCACCAAACGCACAAAGACTCGTCAGATGTGAACGAGTACGTACCAGTACTCAATGGGGATATCCTTGGGAGAGTGGCCATAGCGCTCGCAGGTATCCAGGTCGTTCTTGTCGTAGCAGACTGTGTGCCGGGTGATAGAAAGTGGTGGGGATGAAACGATGAAGGTACGAGGGACACGGTAGGTGAGATGTGAAGAAGAAGCTCGGCAAACAGACTGTTCATCACGCCAGCTCACACATCACGCTGGCTCACGACAACTCACACACAATACGTTTGCTCACAAAACAAAGAGGGGAAAAGCCAGGCACTCGACGTTCGCACGCCCAGCAAACAAGCTCAGCACAAAGAACACAGCGTGTGAGAACAAGGAGCTACAGCACGCACAGGAGACGATGCCAATGGCCTTGGAGTTGCCCGTCAGTCCAGAGGGGGTGGTGAGCCAGAAGGGGGAGGCGATGGCCACGGTTCCGAGCACGGCGGTGAGGAGAAGGAAGAACGAGTACACGACTGCAACATGCCAAACGAAAGGGGAGAACGTGGGCAAGGTGGGGGTTGAAAGGAGGCAATATGTGTGAATCAGTCTCGCGTATTCCCTTTGTGTCGAGTACATGTACTTGTATCCCTGTGTGTTGTGTGTGTGTGTTTGGATGTTGCAATGCATATCACCCAACACACCAACGTCCCCCCCCCCCACCAACTTCACACACACACACACACACACACACACACACACACACACACACACACACACACACACACACACACACACACACTCACTCACTCACTCACTCACTCACTCACTCACTCACTCTCTCTCTCTCTCTCTCTCTCTCTCTCTCTCTCTCTCTCTCTCTCTCTCTCTCTCTCTCTCCCTCGATTCCGCTTGATGCTCGTATGAGCATCCCCCCTCATCATTATCATCATCACAAACGCACCGTACAAGCGCAAGTTGGGGCCCAACTTGAGTCTCACTTGCTCACGAGGAACCTGGCGATTACCACCGTTCACGCGCACCGCACCGGCACTGGTGCCACCCACCCCCGAGCCAAATGCTTTGAGACCTGCGGGTGCAGCTCGCATGAGAAGCGACGCTGAGGAGGACTGGGTGCTGATGGCGTTTGTGTTGTTGTCGCTGAGGGTGTTGTCGTCAGTTGTTCCACTGGCTGCTGCATGCACCCGAAACACGGCCGTGTCGGGTTGCGCGTGCAGTTGTTGCTGCTGATCGTCGACAACGCTCTCGTACAACTCTGAATCGTTCGAGGAGTTCACCCACGACCCAAAGCCTGAGGCTGGATGGTCTTCAAAACCAGACACACCATTGTCAGGTGCCATCCCTGCGCCTGCGCTGCGGGGAGCTGGCCTTGGGGGGAGCTGGGGAGCTGGCTGTGCGTTTGTGCGGGTGTTGCCGTACTGTACACGACAGTTCAACTGAGAGACAAGCAAGAACAACAGTGGGGGTGGGTGTCTTTATGAGCGTGGACTTTAACGAAAGAGCGGGTGGAGCGTAGCATGTGCATGTACGAGCGCACACACACACACATACACACGCATGTATACACGCATACACACATACATACGTATACACACACACAGTCTGATTCTCACACATGCACACACGTGTTCACACACCAGCCTTACCGTGCGTGTCATGCCTTCTTGGTTGGACGACAGGTGCTCAAGTGCGGCCGTCAGATCCTTGCACGGCGGAACGAGAGGGTGGTTGTTGAGCTGATAATCGCCATTTGCGCTCTTTTGGAGGAGATGGTGCTCGACGACTTGGTCGTGGGCGACCTGCCAAAAGCAAAAGCCAACGGCGATTCCAGCAATGTGGTGAGCATGACTGCGCTTTGTTTATGCACACACAACAGGATGCATACACACACATAACAGGATGCATCCACACACACACACACACACACACACACACGCATAAACTAGAACACAGATACACACGCAGGCACACCCCTCCTTCATATTTACCATACCAGGCTGATGGCGACTTGGTTGTCGGCCTTGCTCCGGCGCACCACGTAATCACCAAAAGCACAATCATCGCGGTCGAGGAGGAGCACCTCGGCTTCTTCGCGCCCCATCAAGGGGATGTTGGGTGGTGGCAATGCGCCATAACCATGCTGATGCCGCTGCAGTGGCGCTGCAGGAGCTTTTGGTGCGTCGGGGAGCGTCTGTTGCACAACGAGACGAAATAGAGATGAGGCATGCGCAAGAATTGAGTGTGAGAGACATACCATCCCACCATGGAGGCAAGCACACGTGCGTGCAAGCATACGGACACACCCGGACACACACACACACACACACGGACACACTTTGAGTTTGGCGATGATTGCATCCACCAGCTCAACGGGAACATCCATGTCGGGCACATCACCGCCTTCAGGAAGCCATGGGAAGTAAGCCACATTCGAGGGGAGGTGGAACTTGGTTTCTGGCTCCACAAAGTCGTCGCACATCTTGACAAGGAAGAATGGTTTTTCTTGGTCGATGATGTAGCGCAGCTCTTCGTATGTGCTGAACTTGCTTGCCGTTTGCTGTCCGTATGTGCGTGTGCCCAGCAGGACAGCCATTTTGCACCCATGCAGCGACCGGATGACCGCCCTGGCAATGTCACCACCGGGAGCAATATCGCACAAGAACACACGCAAGCCGTGCGCCTGGAGCGCCTTTTCAAGCCCCCGCGCGGCATGCCGCGCCTCGCCAAAGCGGAGGGAGATGAAGACGTCAAAGTTGTGGGTGGTGGTGGGTGGCATCTTGGGGAGCTCCAAAAAAAAAAACAGACGGAAAGGGAAGACACAGGGCAAAACAAAAGCGCACAACACGGACAAACAAGAAGTAGAGAGGAAGAGAGCACAACAAGTAGCAAGAGGATCACATGAGTCGTTTTGGGTCGTTGTTGTGTTCACACAGGGAAAAACGAAGCATCAGACCGTTGAATCGGTGGAGCAAAGTTTTGGTGCGTTCAGTAATACAACACTACTGTGTGTAAAGATTGTCCCGATTGTAGCAATCATTCCACATTCGTTTCGTTGCGAACGTCAGTTCGTTGTGGAGTTCGCAGCCTTCGAGTGCTCGAAGTGTGGTAAGAGGGGCTGCCATCACTGCGTGCGTGACGTGACAGTAGGGGACGTGTGACGGAGGAATTCTTGTGCTTGCATGCGGTGAAGGTGAACACCCACAACGCGAAACAGAACGACCACTTGCACACACATTATAAACACAAACACTACACACACCAAGACAGCAAGACCATCCGAAGGATCACCTTTTCGTTCTTGGTTTCGGTATTGGCACCACCCTTCTGCAGCAGCAGGCTCGCAATCGCTGGTTTGTTGTGCCTGCAGGCAACGTGCAGCGCCGTATTGCCCTGTTGGGAATGGGTGGGATGAAGTCCGTGTAGCGTTGGCAAAGCGTGCAAAGAAAGAACAGTCGCGGGCAGTGCTCCAGAGGGTTGAATGACATGGCTGTGTGTGCACTTGCACACACACACACACACACACACACACACACACACACACACACACACACACACACACACGGGCGCGCGCATGCCACAAGGCCACACTTCATGTAGTGAGACAGCACTACAATACAAATCCTGAACTTAAGTGTCGTGAAGGAGTATCAAGGCCGAACTTAAGGGTATCAAGGCATAGTCCTCCCGGAGTTCAGGACCAACACAGATTCCGAACCACACAACAGAACGGAACTACCACTCCTCACCAAGGACACCAACACCCAAGATCCGACCCCCTTGCTCGTCTCTCTTGACCTTGTGCCTGTCTCTACTTTCCTTGCTTGATTGTTGTCACTTATCTATCACTCCACTTATCTCATCGCCCTATCCTATTACCTGTCTTCTTTACTTGCGACTACGTCTCCCGCACAGTATACAGCAAGACCCTACTCTAAGTCCCAGTCAAACACTCTTACACACACACAGACCAGTCACATCACAACACTTCACACAGCCTCTAGTCCAAGAACAGCCGCACAGGCACCACTTCAGAGAAGCGACAACAAACAACCCCTGCAACAACAAAAGAACTCTACAACAACCAACCCTGCCTACTCATCTCATAGGATCTTGTTTCATTCTGTTTGAACCTTTTGTTGTTCCTGTTGCACGTCTCCGCGTTTCAGTCTTGGACCAACCAACTGAGCAACTGTTAATGCAATCTTTGAGTTCCGTTACATTACACAGCACAATACCCCATGAGAACAGCAGAACAGCAGAACAGCAGGCGCGGTTTACTTCTAGCTTCTTAGCTTCTATGGGAGAAAAACGATCAACACCTGTGACTGAAGACAGGAGTGGAGGACAAGCAGATACATACATGTTTCGGTGACGATCATGGAGGTGGCGTACAAGGACCATGCGCGTTATTACACCTCTTCGTACATCGAACAGTCGAACAGGCGAACAGACAGCACAGTGTGGTGGGTCTGCGTCTCTAGGTCTCTTGCAGTCTTGCGTCTGGCTTTGAGAACCATTTGCTCTTGACATTCAGTCATACAAGCGCGGCAGTGCGCCTCGATTGTGGAGCAACAGATGAAGATGTAAACAATTTTCGGCGAAAGGACTGAGAAGAACACCACGCACGACTTGCTTGCTTGGTTGTTTGTGGTGTTGGTTGTTTTGGTTTGCGCTCGCTGTCATCTCCGCTTGTTTGTCCTTCCCTTGCTCCGCTGTGCTGTGCTCTGCTTTGCTCTTATTGTGGTTGAGGATGATGATGGAGGAAGGCAGTCACACGACTGCATCGACCGTGGATGACACCAACAGCAACAGCAAGTCGCGGCGCCCTGCTGCGACGGAACCACGGGCCGCCATGGTGCGCAGCCCTTCCACGTTCAGCAACCAAGGCGCGTTGGACCACGCAGAGGATGAGGAGGCAGACAACATTGGTTTGCTGCGTGACACGGGCCGAAGCGTCTACGAGTACAAGTCCCAAGCACGTTGCTTCAAGTGAGCACTGTGTGTGTGTTTGTGTGTGTGTGCGTTTGCGTGTCTTGTGTGTGTTTGTGTGTTTGTATGTATTTGTGTGTTTGTGTGTGTGTGTGTGTGTGTTTGTGTGTGTGTGTGTTTGGGTGTGTGTACATGTGTTTGTGTGTGCATGTGTGTGATTCAATGCTTGGCGACGCTTGCGTTTCCACGGACGCACATGCTGACATGTGTGTCTGCGACGGCATGAGCTAGGAAGGTGTCCGTTTTGGCGGGCGTCATTGCATCTGTGCTGCTGCTTACGCTCATCATCGTTGTCGCGCAACAGAAGCACGCACCATCTTCGGTACAGTCAAATTTGTGTGTCTGTGTGTCTGTGTGTCCGTGTGTGTGTGCGTGGGTACGTGCGCGATGTGCGTGCGTGCGTGCGTTCGTCTTTCTTTTTCGTTGTGACGGTGTGTCTGTCGCCTTGTGCCCCGTCTGTCTGTCTTCACTTCACTGCTCGGTGCGTTTGTGCGCCATGGTAACGCATGCCACCCCTGTTGTACCTTGTGTCCAACAGTCGAGCAAAGACATCAGTCCCGATGCGGTGGTGACTGCTGCTCGCCTCATCAACTCCATCGACACATCCGCAGACCCATGCGACAACTTCTACCAGGTGTGCGTGTGTGTGTTTGTGTGCGTGCGTGTGTGTGTGTGCGTGCGTGTGTGTGTGTGTGTGTGTGTGTGTGTGTGTGTGTGCAGTCGTTCATTTTGTCTGTGCACGTGTGCGCATTGGTCATTGCGCCTCCGCTACCATCGCTCAACTCCTCACCAACACACGTGCTCGTGTCCGCTGCAGACCTGTGGCCCACTATCCCCAAGGACCAGCGCGTGTCGTATCTGACCTTCCACCTCATCAGCCGCTACACAGCCGCCATGGGCAAGGACGTGCGTGCACTGCGACAGAGAGTGCGGGGGGTAAGCGCTTGGGGCGGTATGTGCGTCTGGGTATGTGCAGTTGGCTGGGTATGGGTGGGTGTCTGGCTTCCCCGTTCATTTGTTCTCTTGCATATATATGAGCACATATAGCATTGCGTCTTTGTGTTTAATGCCACGCACACGTGAGTGGTTGGTTATCCCATCACGGCGTTTTCCACATGTTCAAACACCCCCCCCCCCACAACACCCCTGCCATTCCGCACCCCCCCCCTCTCACCAGGCCGTGTACGGGACGGCGACAGCGCCGCCGCTGTGGCGGTCGTGTGTGTCATCCACGGATGACGCACTTGGATTTGAGCTGGGTCGCCTCTTTGTTGACGAGTACTTCACCGCAGAGGCAAAGCAGAAGACAGACGTAAGGGAGGCAGGGGTGTAGGGAGAGGGGGTTCTTTTGTGCATGTCTCATGTCTGTTGTGTGTGTGTGTGCGTGCGTGTGTTTCGTGTGGCATGTATAATGTCGTGTGTATTTCGTTGTGGTGCTTCAACACAGTGCAAGCCCCATCCCCCGCCTCGATAGAAACGGCCAACCGCTTCTCACACCACCACCACCACCACGACCACCATCATCATCGCAACTGCTACCAGTCCATGGTGGAGAGCATCCGTGCTGCGTTCCTCAACCGGCTGGACAACGTCAAGTGGATGGACAAGCCGACGCGCGCCGCTGCAAAGGACAAGGCCACCGCCGTTGAGCAGAAGATCGGGTGTGTGGATGTGCGTGTGTGTGTGCGTGTGTGTGTGCGTGTGTGTGTGCGTGTGCGTGTGTGTGTGTGCGTGTGTGTGTGCATGCACACGTGCGTGCGTGTGTATGAGAGCAATGCCGTGCCTTGTTGCTCTCCATCAGCACTTCTCCCGGTGCATGCTCTCTGCTTCTTTCACACACTTTCACACACACACACACACACACACACACACACACACACACACACACACACACACACACACACACACACACA